CCTGCTTCCCACCCTCCTCTGGCCGCTTCTGACGTTTCTGGTATGGGGGCGGGCGAGACGACCCAGCCTGTGCAGAAGGCGTGTCGAGAGACGGGAGTTCGTCCATCTTGTCCTGGTCGCCGTCTTGCTTCAGCTTGTCGTCGTGGGTGACGCCGACGGGTGCCTGGGTGTACTTCATCTTGCCGCGTTCGGCGACAACTGCAATGGTGACCCAGTCACCCGACACGGGGACGTCGTAACCCTGCTTGTTTGGGAGCAGGCGGACGACTGAGTATAGCTTGGAAGGCGATAGATAGTACCGTCCTCGAAGGTGGTCCTGAAAGTCTGCATGAGGTAGCACGCGTGATCTGGATCAAAGTCATTCCTTAGCTATCTTGGAGGACTGTCAACATGAGGACGCACGATAGGCGTATGCCAGAATTAGGCTCCAGTCTCTCAAAGCGTGGATCGTCGAAAGGAGGCTTGTGTTCGGCAGGCCCAAGAGGAAGATCTTCGATGACGGTCATATCCTCTTCTCTTCGTGTCGGATGATCACCGGGAGCTGGCGGAGGAGGTCGTGCAGAGAATGCAGCGGAACGGGTGGCAACAACCTCTTGCTCAGAAGAAGCGTTCTTCTGTTTGTGGGCCTTGGCAAGCCTCTGCAAGACAGTCGAAGACGGGGTAGGAGCCGCAGACGCCCTGTCTCGTAGCAGTAAGAACGACGGTCCTGCCTTGGGCACTGATCCGGGGGCGGCTCTCCCGGAGGATGGGATGGCCACCGGTGTGGCCTGCCTTTGCCTCTCGGACTCATGCCTGGCAACCTTCTTCTTCTCTGCAACAAAGTCAGTTCACCTCAAACATAGTCTGCAGTAATAAATACATACTAGAAGGCGTTTCAGGAACTAGGACGCTGGTGCTTGGTCGCTTTCGTTTCGGAGATGAAGGCAGCTGGTGGGCCAATGCCGTTTCCGACGTGCTGTCGTTGCTGAGCTGGGCTTGGAGCAAGGCGATTTGTTTCCTGATTTCTGCCTGTTTCAGCTCTTCCGCAGTCTTCCTGCTAGTGGCAGAGTCCATGTGGTCATAGTGGTAGTGGACCTCGCGAGACGCACGCCACGGAAACCGTAAGACACGACACGCCCTCGAGCGCCACCCGCGACGCGTTCTTTGGTCGTGTTTGTACTTGTGTCCTCGGCTGGCAAGTATTGCCGCCCACCCAATTCAGAACATCAGCAAAAGTGTAAAAATCTTTTGCCGTATTGCCCGTTCAGGCAATACTCAGCGAGAGCGCGCAATATACGTCAGATCATATACCGGGCAATATTTCGCATTATTGCAGGTATTGCGAGGTATTGCCGGTATTGCGCGCTCTCGGAATACATTTCCGGTATTGCAAGACCATGCCACAAATGGCGCTTCAGGCAATGTCCGCAATCCTGTAGGATAATTTTACACTTTTGCTGATGAAGGTTTGCGGCGTCGCATTTCTGCCGTGTATCAATCCAATCAGCCAGCCTTCACATGAAACTAAGATAATACGAACGAGAATAGAGCTACAACAAAGTAGGGCTTGACGCGTGACGTCACGCGTCGCCTCGAGAGGCAAATATCGCCGATATATAAGCTTGGACCTGGGTAGGAAGGAATGCTGTGTTAGACGTCGGAGGCTCCGTCTTGTTCTTCCAAGACAACCAATCATTCTCTTTTGGCGGCTGGTGATAATACGATCGAAGCCGCAGAATAACTCGAACTGACGGGTCGTCTTGTATGGTCGATCTAGACGAGAGCGACGAGGAGAAGTCGGCATAGAAACCGACCCGTGTTGGGATCGCGTGAATCAGCTGCAACAATGTATTATCCTCCAAGCCACGCTATAGCTACAATATGATGATGGTACAGATGAGAGCCAATGATACAGCCAGCAAAAATACAACAGGGCCATACAACGATACATTGATGATACACGAGTGAGAAACCGACGGCAGCACGTCGTCATTAGCCACGCCCCCTGCCACTGCCACTGCCACTGCCCCTGACTCACGGCCTGAGCCACAGAACGCAGCTCCCGTTACGTAGGAAGGGAGGGAAGCAGGTCGAGGTGTTCGCGGTGTTTCCGCTCAACATGTTGGGAAACATCGCCGGGCCGTGTCCCCTGCCACGAGCACTCCAGTCCGTGCAGGGTGAGCAAGCACCCCCACCTCGCATGCCAGTGAGCTGCCTTCACGTGTCGAACGAAGGTGTTCCCCTGGTCCTTTTTGTGGC